TGGGTGTAGGAGCCATTAGATTGGTTCTATGCTATTTGAGGATCCCACTACACTGTGGTAATCCTCCTAAGACTTGCTAAGCAGACTTTAAGGCTTTTTTGCACAAGTAAAACAGATCAAAGCTGTCCTGCTGTAAGGGAGAATCAAATGTGCACAATACCAGTTTTTGTTGCAGTTTCTTGAACAGATCTTTGGAGATAGAGTGTAGCACTGCTGTATACCTTAAAAATCAAAATGGGTGACGTTCCAGAAATAATAGGACTAGAGACACAGGGTAATTAGCTAAGGACCTTTCAGAAATATGTATGTTCTGTAAGAAAACTGATATCCACTGAGGGAACAAGTTGCACCCACATCAGTAAAACATCATTAACATACAGGATATAAGAAGCAGAAGTAGCAATGGCACTGGCAGGGAATCCTGTCTCCTTCATTCAGCAATTGAAGTTCCAAAGAAAAGATATTCTATCCAGTACTAGGGAACAGACATGGAGAGTGAGGACCTGATTTTACTGCGACAGAATGCCTATTGTAGTCAATGGGCATTTTGCCTGAAAAAAGACTTCAGGCTTGGGCTCCAAGTGATAATATCTTAACAGACACAGATATTCCTGTGCCCTTTCAAGAGGATTGCTCAAAGGAAAGTACATAACCTGTATAAAAATGTCTTTAGAATGAGCACTCGGATGCTCACAGATTATGCAGATTTCAAATTCCTTCAAAGTACTTATACACATTAGCTAGCTACACATATCTGTAGCCTTAACAGAATGTCTAGTGAGCAGCAGCATAGGCATTGGAGTTGCCTGTCACTAGACTTGGGATGATAGCATTGCATTGGTATACAATCAATCAGGCTGGGGATTTTTTTTTCTGATCACATCTATGGGCAGATAAGATGTCAGATGTGGTTATCCAATGACAAAATGTGGTTGCTCTAATATCTGGCCTGTGGATTCATTGTTGCAGGAAAATTAAAATGAAATATTGTTACTGGTAGATTGTCTAAAGGCATTGCTCTATGTTCAGCTTGTTCTATTTTGGATTATTGAGGCAGAGTTATTCTCATTTGTATTCTCTTATTTTTATTGTCTATCATTTGATTTTACATTTAGCTTTGTTCTTGCTTTAATAAAAGAGAACATAAAAACAGCCATACTGGGTCACACCATGGTTGATCTTGCCCAGTATGCTCTCGCCAACAGTAGTCCATATCACAACTTAAAGAGGAGTGAACAGAACAGGGCAATTATGGTGAGATGCACCTCTGGCTTCCACTCCTTGCTTCTGGTAGTCAGAGGTTTGGACTGCCCCGAGTATGGGGCTGCATTCTTGGCTAATAGCTATTGATGGACCTATTCTCCATGAACTTACCCAGTTCTTTTTTTAACCCAATTATACTTTTGGCCATCACAACATCCCATGGCAATGGGTTCCATAGTTTAGTTGTGTGTTGTGTGAAGAAGTACTTCTTCTTGTTTGTATCAAATCTGCTGCCTATTAATTTCATTGAGTGACCACTGTTTTTTGTATTGTGTGAAAGGATAAATAACACTTCTGTATTGATTTTTTTCCCACACCATTCATGATTTTATAGATCTCTATCATATCCCCTCTTAGTTGTCTCTTTTCTAAGATGAACAGCCCTAATCTTTTAGTCTCTCCTTGCATAAAAGTCATTTCATACCTTTGATCTCTTTGTTGCCTTCTCTGAACCTTTCCCAGTTCCACTATATTCTTTTTGAGATGGGACAACCAGAGCTGGACACACTATTTAAGGAGTGGGCACACCATGGATTTATACAGTTGCATTATAATACTTTCTGTCTTATTTGCTATTCCTTTCCTAATAGTTCCTAACATACTGTTAGCCTTTTTAACTGCTGCTAAGCATTGAGCAGAAGTTTTCAAATAAGTATCCATGGTGACTCCAAGATCTTTCTTGAGTGGTAACAGCTAATTTAGAACCCACCATTGTGTATTTATAGTTGAGATTATTTTTTCCAGTGTGCATTACTTTGCACTTATCAATGCTGAATTTCGTCTGTCATTTTGTCACCCAGTCACCCACATTTGTGAGATCCCTCTGTAAATCCTCAGTCTGCTTTGGACTTAACTATCTTGAATAGCTTTGTGTCATATGCAAACTTTACTACTTCACTGTTAACCCTCTTTTTCCAGATTACTAATGAATAATGCTGAACAACACAGGTCCCAGTACAGATCCTTGGTCCCAGTACAGATCTCTCTCCACTGTGAAAACTGACCATTTATTCCTACCCTTTGTTTCCCATCTTTCAATCAGTTACTAATCCATGAGAGGAATACCTCTGTCTCTAAATTCAAAGGAGAGGAACCATGGGCTTCAGGTAGAACTGAGGCTATTTAATAATTTATTTAAATTCAAGTAAAAATTCTAATACCTAAATATTACCAATTGTCTATCTGGTTTGAAATCTAGGTCAAATCATTTTGGGGGGCGAGGGGTAAGGTTGGTCCAGTGTAAGTTGTGCAGATAATAATGAATGATGCATTACAAAACAGCAGTTGGGAACCAGCTGGATCCCTTAACTATTCATTTCCAGAACTTTAAATGTAGTTTGTTTTTTAAAGGTGTACATTTTTGCAAAGGGAGTGTAATACCTTTGGGTGCTGGCTGAATGCCTTTGAAATATTTCTCCCGCTGTAAAACTTACCTCCTTTGTAAAGTACTGTCAGATCTACTGATGAAAAGTGCTATATAAGAGTTAGGCATTATTAATTCATTATTATTATGTCAACCTTAATTCTTGTTTTGCCAAGTTTTTGTTTGTGAATGAGCACAAGAAGTTTAAATCAGGCTAGTGTATAAGGATGCCCTCCTCGTACAGAACTTATCAGACCTACCAAAGCAAAGCTTCTCTTTTGAAGACATGAGCAAATCCATAAAATATGCATGGAGACAGGTGGGAGAACTTTTACCCACAGAGAAAACTTCAAACATTTAAATGTTTATATCTTGAAAATATTAGGTATTTAACATGGATAGGAGATTCAACCTTTCCTTATCCCCTCTTTGGTTCTCCCTGATTCCCTGTACCTTTCTTTCTTTGTCCCCAGTTCTCTCCATCCCTTCTTCCATACCTCACCCTGATCCCTGTATATCCCCTATCTGGGCTTCTCACAGGTCCTCTGTGCACCTCAACCATGACCCCCAACTCCCCTGCTCCTTTTCAAGCCCTCCAGTTCTCTGCATCCCATTATGCACTTTTCTCTCTCACCCACCACCACCTACTCCCCTCCATGTTTCAACATGGTCCCCTGCACACACTCTTCTATGCCTCCTCAGTTCCCTGCACACACATCCGATATGTCTTCCACCAGAGATCACACATACCCTCATACTCATCCCTTATATGCTTTGACAAGTCTCCTGCCCTGTTCCAGGTTCCCCTTCCTCCCAGCAATCTTGGATTCCCTCATTCAGAGATCAGGAAGTAAAGCTCCAGGCAGGCCACGTCCCTCCTGGTCCCCCACATTCTCTCCATATACTGAATACCTGCCTGTCTGTGTGACACCCTTTCTACTACCAGCAGACTAGCAGTTGCAACAAAGCCTAGACTGTTCCCCCTCCACAAAAGTACTAAAGACATTTCTCCTCAACAAGGCCAAGAAAACAAGACCTATTTGAAGTTTGCAGGCAGAACCACCCGAGAGATATGACAACTGTAAAAATAATTTTGAAGTTATGGTGAGTCAAAAATTTTCTGAATGTTATCAAACTACCAGAAAAAAATGCCAAGGCATGAGATGTGGCAACATTTCAGGGGAATCAGTTTCACTTGGGTGAAGTTAGAGGAGATTAACAACTATTTTCATAGTGGGGAAAGCGACAAAGAGTCCTGTGGCACCTTATAGACAATATGTCTGTTAGTCTATAAGGTGCCATGGGACTCTTTGTCACTTTTTACAGATCCAGACTAACACGGCTACCCCTCTGATAGTGGAGAAACTAACTTCAATCTTAAATGTGGAGTGGAGTATTGCTGCTCCTTACTACATCAAGCACCCAGGATAGGTTTCACAGCATGTTTGGAATTTTACCCTGTGGCCACTTGTCAACCACAGACTCGAAGATAGTAAGAAAAGCTAAAATCTGAAATGGGATGGAGAGGCTGACACCACTTCAAAGGGAGCATCCCGAATCCCAAAGCCAATGAGGAAACCAGCAGCCAGCCACACCCACCTCCTTTGACAGCTCCCAAATAGCAAATACAAACACCAACAACTGAAGCCTCATTTGGTGCCCTTCCTCCCATGCAGAGCACGTTAACTTTAGCAAATATTGACCGCCTTTTGCATCAGAACAAACGCTGCCCCGGCCAGGAGTGGGGAGGGAACGTGACAAGTTAGTCCCCTCTCCCCACAGGAAAAAAAAAAGGAGTCAGGCTGATGCTGTCGGTTATGGGAAGCGTATGTGGCAGGGATCTGCAGTGTGTCTACGAGGGGTGCAGTGCCCAGGCCCTCCAGGGGTGCCTGTCCCGTGCTGGTACAATAACCAGCTGGTCCAGCGAGTCCTGAACGTGCTGGGGTCCCCGTGCTCTAGCTGCCTTAGCCAGCGCCTTCCCCCTGACAGCTCCCGCGGCTCCGGCCAGGCCCCGGTAACACGGGGTAGCAGGGGATGCTCCACGCTGGGGCGCGCCCCTTCCCTCCAAGGCCGGAGGCCGTTCAGACTGGCCGGGGTGCAGCGCTGCGAGCAGGGCCCCGCCGGGAGCTGGAGAGGGGATGGGGGCTTTGTGAACAGAGGGGCGGGCAAGACGCCCCCGAGCGGGCCCCGAGGCTCAGCGGGGGCGAACCCCCAAAGGGCTGCGCCCCGCACAGCACTTGCCGGAGGCTCGGTGTCTCTGGGGCGGAGCTGTCAGTGCGAGGGCCCGGCCCAGCCCCTCGGTCTCGCCGGGCGGGAAGCCCCTCGCCATCTGCAGACCCCCACCCGCCTCCCGGCCCTGGTCCCTGTCCCTCACCGCAGGGTGGGCCCCACGCAGGCCGTGTCCGTGCTCTCGATCTCCTGCAGGATCCGCTCATGCTCGGGGAGGCTCTCCGCCATCTTGGGTGGGAGGGAACCAGGCAGCGGCGCCGCTGCGGGACGCGCTGGGGAGGCGGCGCTGCAGGCCCGGGACCGGGCTCCTGCGCTCCACGCGCCCACCCCGAAAGCTGCAGAGCCGGGTCCGCCGCTAGCGCCCAGCCCACCCGCTCCGCAGCGGCTGCTGGGGGTACAGGGGAGCGGGGAGACGTGCGCACTCTGAGCTGAGAGGGCGGTGGGGGGACAGGCAGGGGCCGGGGCTGCTGGAACTGGAGGGCGGAGCAGGGATTCAGCCAGAAGGAACTGGGGCTGCTGGGGCTCGGGAGGATTGGGCAAGGGAAGACCGGAGAGAAGCGTCCAGGGTTAAGAGTGCGGAGGGAAAAGGTAAGAGAGTGTCTGCCTAGATCGCACAAGAGGACTCTGCTGGTCTGCGTGGCTCTTAGCTCCCAAATGCAGCACCAAACTAGAAAACAAGTCTAGCCACGCTTCCCGCACACGCCAGATCATAATAGTAAATGATCATATAAATCCAGTCTTGGCACATTTGAGTTCGTCAAAAATCAGGCACCGGCACCTGGATGGATCTAGCCAAATTTTGGCCCCCAGCACCAAATTCTAATGCATAAACTGAGAACCAGTCTAACGGCTGTTACTTCGCCAAAAACTTTGGACCTTCACACATCCCAACACACAAACGCTACAAAAACATCCTTTCAGCACGTGGATTCTGCTGGAGACCCTCCCCCCGCTTACCCCCCACACACACCCCCACACCCATCATAAATTCCAGGGCCACTCCTACTGCACCAAAAATTCTAGACCCTGATACATCCTTGTGCATAGGTGCTATAAACACCCAGGTGTTGCCCAACCCAACAGTTTGGTTTGGGGTTTTGTTGTTGTTCTTTTTTGTTTGTTTTGCTATTCATCTCTAAATTCTACACCATAAAGAGATCACTTATAGCTGCTCCTAGGCCCTTTTAAAAATCTGGTCCCCTATTACATTCTGGAACAGGAGCACTTAAAAAAATCAAAATATGGACCAGAATCCAGCAAGGTCCATTTTTCATCTAGATCCCAAGGCCTTTTTACATTCTAAACAGACAGCAAGTGTAGCTATCTTTTTTAAATTAGATAAATGTGTATCCAATTTAATTGTTTTTCCGAGAGGCCATGATAACTTTGGAGATTGGTGAAAGAATGAGCTGGACGTTTTGGATCTAGACCTGTATTTGGATTTTTTAAGTGCTAGTGTGGAGTAGACTTAGAGACCTACAGCCAAAATTTGCTAGACCCAACAAGACCTAGGTGCCAGATATGTGGTTTTGTGTTGCTTTTGCAGCAGGATTTATTGGAACTTGGATTTTTCTGTTCAAGCAGAAATAAAAACATGCATTGTCCATTTTGACAATACAAGTTGTGGGTCACAACCAAAAATGGTAGAATCCAGCAAGCTCCAGATGCTGGATATATGTCTTTGTGGTTCTATTGACCAAGAATGCAACAGGGCCTTCATTTTGCAGTGGAATTAGAGCAGCTAGCAGTATTTCTCTCTTTAGCTAGTAGAAATTAGAAATTGTATTTGGGATAAAAACATTACAAGCTGGATCCAAGAAGATCCAAGTGTTGGACAGTGGGTTTTTTTGGTGCTGCCGGATCAGTTTTCTAGTTCTAGATTTCTTTGGTGCGTTATTATTATTTTTTATTTATTTTCACTGAGAACTGCTTCATTTTTCTCTGTTTAGCTTAGAGAACTAGATAGATTGGGGATAAAAATTTGCAAGATTCAGTTGGATCTGTGTACCAGATATGTGTTTTTCCACTGCTTTGGGGCTCAGATAAATCAGAGTCCTTATTTTTGCAGAGAAGTAGGAGCTGCTCACTTGATTTCTATTTTGATTGTACGTTTGGGTTTTGGGGCCAAAAATTGCCAAGGTCCATGGGCCAGACCTGGATTTTTTACAGTGCAAAGTTATCTGTGCACAAATGGAAGCCAACTTTTGAAAATTTGGTCCTTAAAAGTGGCTTGCCCATTTATGGCTTTTCCTAGACTAGAAAATCTAACCTTTGCTAACAATAGTTATCAGCACTGTGTGTAACTTAACCAGCCTAGAATGTGCATTAGCTGCAATTGTGTTCAGCATCATTTCAGTAACTGTAATTAAACCACCATCAAGCACTAGGCCACAGTTAATGAAACAGTACTGATGTTTGGATGTTGTCTACACTTGCAGCTAGATCATTTTCAGCTTTGGTTCAGCTGAACCTATTGGTGACATCCATAGTCAGCAACAGGTAGTTTTTCTAAGTGTAGACAAGCTTCTCCAAAGTACAGTTCGGGCAGTGATGCAGGAGGGAGATAACTCAGAGTGGGGAAACTATTTTCAGGTTTTAGCTACCTTTTCTATATTATTTCCCTGTATAAATCATTGATATATAGTAAAATTCTTCCTACATTCCTTTTTTCCATCACTCAAGTTATTTACAGAATAGGGTGATAGATGCAAGTTTCAGGAAAAATTAAATGTATTTCTAAATGAAGATATATGGTTTCTTTCTTTAGTCTGATCCTTACTACAAATGGACATCCACAATACCAGATCAGCTATTTTTAACACTCTGCTGCAGACACCAACAATAAAGCTAAACATCCAGTCTTTAATATATAAGCTTCATGTCCATGAAAATGCAATAAACTGTTAATGCATTATTTCTAATTTTTTCAGACATTTAGGAATTTCACTAAATAAAACTTAACTGCATGTAGATACACTTTAATAATAAACAAGGGTAGTGTCTGTCTAAAATATCTGAATTAAAAGTCATTCACCTATTTTTTCAAGCATGTCGCTGATGGCATTGGCTGATAACAAATTAAAAGCATTCCATTATGGAAAAACAGTGATTGTTTCTTGTTTTCATTTATAAAAGTAATTTCTTGCTTCATGGAGCACTTGTGGTAAGTCTGTAAAGACACCCCTTGTCCTGGTGAGAAGGGGTTCAGTAGAGGCCTTTAATCTATGCTTGTTCCTTTAGGGCCCAATCCTACTCCCATTGAATTTAAAGGAAGTTTTCCTATGAATTTCAGTATGTGCAGGATTAGGTCTCCTGTACCTGGGGGTGAGGGAAACAACAGCCTAAGAATAAAACAAATCCTTTTTATACAATATAATATGATAGAAATGATGCCTACCTTAAACTGGTTCCAAGAGGCAGTTCAAACGACTCAATCTCAGCAAAGACATTTTCATATATTTGATCTTTGTTTTCTTCTGAATAAAGCTCCAGCAAGTTTAGTTTGCTTTTTCTAGCCATTGCAGAGCATGAAACAGTTCTAACTTCAGGGCAGGACTTTTATTCTGTTTACTATCATTACCAGAATGAATCTGTAGTCAGCAAAACCAGCAGTGAAAAATCAGACCCTGGGCTGACCTCGTGATTCCTGAGGACTTTGTGTCCACGAACACTGCCCAGCTGCTGTTTTCCTATCTCCTCTAGTAACGTGCCTATTACACTGTACCCACTTCATTAATGTCTTTTCTTGAAGATGGACTTATTTATTATTTTCAGGGAAACTTTGTTGTCAAAAGCATTGAATAATTCATTAACACATTTAAAACATTTCACTGATGATAAATATTGCAGATGAAAGGGGACACCAAAAACCTGAAATTTAGTTATCTCAAAATATGATTTACAAGTAGTTTCAGACAGGACACTTACCTTTGAGTCCCTCTATCAATTTTTGTGGATTTGAAATCACATTTTCCTATTTTCCAAATGTTTGTCTTTTCCCTGTTGCTTTGTGAAAGACCCACAGAAACAGAAAACTGTTAGGGAAAAGGGCTGTGAAATGCAAAAGTACACTAAAAAAGCAAAGAAAATATTTATGCTTTAATCTCTTTCAGTTTAGTCATTTTAGGTGTCATTTGTACAGTAGTAGGTAAACTGTTCAAATAGAAATGTGGTTTTTACGTTGATTGTGTCCCTTCATGCTATAAACAAAATTCACACCAATTCATTATGCAGGCCCCAGTCTTGCATTGAGAACCTAGTGGGTAGACTCCTGACTCTGCTCTGAGCACCACTGATTTCAAGTCATTGTCTAACCATTAATCTACAGCAGGGAAAATATCGGGTACAGCTTCCTCAAATGAATCTCAACCTCTTTTGTCAAACTTGAGAATAGAGTGCCAGATTAATTGAGAAACAAACGACTTGAAGCCTAATACTGGCAGGCAGTGTTGTGTGGAAAGGGCAGTCTTTTTATAGCTTATCTATTTTGGTATCTCCCTCAGAGACTTCCATAAAAACTTGATTTAGATCCCAAACCTGCTCCTGCTGAAATGAATGTGAGTGTTACCATTACATCAATAAGAGTAGGACTGACCCCTGATTGCTAGGATCTTTAAGCAAAGCTGTTATGTGCAGCAGAGACCCCAAAAATTTAGCAGCAATCTCTTTATTATAAATTCTGTGCTGTTTTCAGACAAATATCTCTTGCACAAGCTTCTTCTCTACTTGCTGTCTTTATTCTTTAAATAAAAGTTAACTGCTCTGTAATAAATATTTCAGGTGCTCACTATTGTGTAACAACTAGTGTTTGAGATTCATCTTTTGTATCATTAACAGATAATACACACTTGTGATTGACCCATCCAGCCACTGGATGTCACACAAATGCAGATGAAAGGATGGCTTGACTAACAGTTCTAATCATATGCATCCGAAGAAGTGGGCTGTAGTCCACGAAAGCTTATGCTCTAATAAATTTGTTAGTCTCTAAGGTGCCACAAGTCCTCCTGTTCTTCTTTTTGCGGATACAGACTAACACGGCTGCTACTCTGAAACAGTTCTAATCTTGCACTACAAGAAGGGAGATTAGGTATTAACTTTTAAAATAATTGAGGACATTAAAAAGTTAGTTTAATAATTACAAAAGTTATTAAAATGATTAATTGGTGGCCTGAGTCACACCTACATTTCCTGGTTTTGTCCACTTACACTACATTTCTGATTCAAGGTCAAAAGATGTAATAAATGAAACCACAGGACTCTAACTTCCATTAGATCCAGCTACTTCTCTTGTAGGACTGTATCCAGAAATCAATATGGTTCATTTTTATGAGGATCTCTGCAACCATCCTCACAGCTATGTTACTGGCCATCCTTGGAAGATAAGCACAGCTACTGTCGATGAATGGATTCATTGGATTTGGTACATTCTTACCATGTAATGAACAAATTAACTTTTTGCTTGTTAA